AAAGAAAGAAAGAAAGAAAGAAAGAAAGAAAGAAAGAAAGAAAGAAAAAAAGAAAGAAAGAAAAAGGAAGAAAGAAATGCAAACCCCTTCTTTACACTGATTTGCAGACCTAAATTTGACTGTAACAGTTACTTACTATGATTGTATTCTAGTCCCGGAAAAGTGATACAGTTTCTATAATCTATCTTTCTATGTGCCATCTTCAATATCAGTTACCTTCATCCTCCTCCTCATCTTCATTGTCATGATGTATACGGTATTCTTTTATGTCTTCCTCTTTTTTTTTTTTTTTAATAGGCTCCACAACCAGCATGGAGCCCAATGCGGGTCTTGAACTCATGACCCTGAGATCAAGACCTGAGCTGAGATCATGAGTCTAATGCTTAACCAATTGAGCCGCCCAGGCACCCCAGTGTATATGTGATTCTTGAGGGACATTATTGGAATAGAAAATGACAGGGACACAGCATGATAGAGATCTTTCTTTCATGAAAGAGTGAGGCTTTATGCTCAGGAACCTTGCAATCAGAAAGAATATCTGCAAAATGGAATAGCAAAAAGATCTACACAGTATATACTTTAAAATAACCTCTCCTAGAGGAGAACATAGGCAGTAACCTCTTTGACATCAGCCACAGCAACTTCTTTCAAGATACATCTCCAAAGGCTAGTGAAACAAAAGCAAAAATGAACTTTTAGGACTTCATCAAGATAAAAAGCTTCTGCACAGCAAAGGAAAAAGTCAACAAATCAGAGGCAACCTACAGAATGGGAGAAGATATTTGCAAATGACACTATAGACAAAGTGCTGATTTCCAAGATCTATAAAGAACTTCTCAAACTCAACACCCAAAAAACAAATAATGAAGTCAATAAACGGGCAGAAGATATGAACAGACACTTCTCCAAAGAAGACATATAAATGGCTAACAGACACATGAAAAAATGTTCATCATCATTAGCCATCAGGGAAATTCAAATCAAAACCCCACTGAGATACCACCTTACACCAGATAGAATGGCAAAAATTGACAAGGCAAGAAACAACAAATGTTGGAGAAGTTGTGGAGAAAGGGGAACCCTCTTACACTGTTGGTGGGAATGCAAGTTGGTACAGCCACTTTGGAAAACAGTGTGGAGGTGCCTCAAAAAATTAAAAATAGAGCTACCCTATGACCCAGCAATTGCACTCCTATGTATTTACCCCAAAGACACAGATGTAGTGAAAAGAAGGGCCATATGCACCCCAATGTTCATAGCAACAATGTCCGCGATAGCCAAACCATGGAAAGAGCCGAGATGCCCTTCAACAGATGAATGGATAAAGAAGATGTGGTCCATATATACGATGGTATATTACTCAGCCATCAGAAAGGATGAATACCCAACTTTTGCATCAACACGGATGGGACTGGAGGAGATTATGCTAAGTGAAATAAGTCAAGCAGAGAAAGTCAATTATCACACGGTTTCACTTATTTGTGGAACATGAGGAATAGTATGGAGGACATTAGGAGAAGGAAGGGAAAAATGAAGGGGGGGAATCGGAGGGAAAGATGAACCATGAGAGACTATGGACTCTGAGAAACAGACTGAGGGTTTTGGAGGGGAGGGGGTAGGGGGATGGGTTAGCCTGGTGATGGGTACTAAAGAGGGCACGTTCTGCATGGAGCACTGGGTGTTATGCACAAACAATGAATCATGGAACACTACATCAAAAACTAATAATGTAATGTATGGTGATTAACATAGCATAATAAAATAAAATTGAAAAAATATATAGCTTTTAACTGCTGCTAGTATGTGGAAAAATTGATTTTTTATATTTATTTTGAATTCAGAAAACTTAAAACTTACAATGGATCGTGGATCACCACATCAAAAACTAATGATGTATTGTATGGTGACTAACATAACATAATAAAATTTTAAAAAAATAAAAAATAGAAAAAAATAAATGCTAGGCATGTTCCATTAAAAAAAAAGTAATACATTCTCTCTCTCTGGAGAGAGTGGGGTAGGGAGAGAGAGAATCTGAAACAGGCTCCACACCAAGTGTGGAGTCTGATGGGGGACTCGATCTCACGACCCTGAGATCATGACCTGAGCCAAAATCAAGAGTCGGACACTTAACTGACTGAGCCACCCAATCACCCCTCGGTCTTCCATTGAACTTGTCATCTGTCAATAACCACATTTTCCTCTTCCTTTCTCGTTCTCACCCTATTTTTCTGGTTCCATTGGCTGGTCAGCACAACATTGAATAGAAATGATGATGGCATTTATTTGCTTACTTACGAATTATGTATGCATTGGACAAACTGTAAGAACAGGATATATGGTAAATATTGTTGGATCCCGCGATTTCAAGGACCTATCGGCATCCCAAGATATCTGCAAGTCATTCTTCCAACCAGCAGCTAAATATCTCACCTGAGGAACCTGAAGTATGTAACGACTTCTCAGATCAAGGAAGATCTATGCTTGCTCTTTATGTGCCAGAGGTGTTTTATAGAAAGACCCACATCACCTCCTGGTGGTCAGAGGGGCAAATTCACCAGCCACCCTCTGATACTGCCATCCCCTGCCCTGAAGTGAGTGGGGGTTGCCAGTCCTACCTTGTGAAGGAGCAGCCAGGCACCTCAAGTATCAGAGCAGGACAGGGAAACAAGCAGCTGGCATGCGCCTCCACACCACATAGAATTGTTACTGGTAATTGTTACACATTTGCTCAGTTATTAACCTAATCTTGTTTGATGGTTTATCAGTATAATTTGCCTTCTCAACCTTTTCTAGCCCCCATTCAAGGTGAGTGTGCTCCTTAAATTTCTCTCCCAGATTTTCGCTCTTCTCTTGCTATATTCCATCACTGAGGGATCATATGCTCTTTCGTTCTTCCAGCTATGCTAAATTATCCTGACTTTTCAGCTCTCTCCAGTCTCACCTTGTGCTCACCCCCTTCTTCCCTCTTTGCTCACGCCACCTTACTAACTACACCTTTCATTAAACACACCAATTTCTTTCCTGCCTGAGGAATGTTGCACTGGGTCTTCGGGCCATGCTGGTCGGTTCATTATCCCCAGTCCCACATAATTAACTCGAGTTCATCTTTGGGATATCATCTTAAACGTGACTTCCTCTAGGAACCTGCTCTGTGACTCTATTAGGTCTCCCTGTGTCATAGGCAGAGACAGATGGGTCCACACAATACCCTGCCCCTGCCTGATGGATACAAGGGTAGAGACCCCAGGTCACAACAAATATTTTTTCCTGTGACTTTGAAACTTCAACAGAGACCTAGAGACAAAAGGTAGTGGTTGCTGAGGCTTTTTATGCCTGTCTTTCAGAAAGAAGATGTATGAGCTCCTGTTGCTTAGGAACACAGGGCTAGGGTTTCTGTTCTCATTAAACTGGTCAATTGTCTCTCTTCTCATCCATCCGAACTCATCAGCATCCAAGCAACCAATTCCCTTTAATATGTAAGTTGGTGTTTCAGAGGACTTTTTCTCCTGTATCAGATTTACTTTCCTTTTATTTTTAAACAGCTTTATTGAGATATAGTTGATGCACAAAAAACTGCACATATTTGATGTATAGAGTTTAATGAGTTTGGAGACCGGCACGCACCCATGAAACTGTCACCACAGTCAGACTAATAGACATATCTGTCACTTCCAAAAGTTTCCTTGTGTCCCTTCATTTTGTTTTGTTTGTTTTGGTTTTGTGGCAAGAACACTTAACATGAGACCTATCCTCTTAACAAAACTTGAGGTGCACAGTGCAGTATTGTTAGGTGTAGGTACCACCTTGTACCACTTTGTTGTATAGCAGATCTCAAGGAAGTCTTCATCCTGCATAACTGAACTTTGTATCAGTCCAAGTCCCCATTTCTTTCTTCTCATAGACCTGAGCAATCACCATTCTACTTTCTACTTCTATGACTTTGACTCCTTTGGCTACTTCATAGAAGTGGGATCATGTTTTATTCATGTCTCTGTGACTGGCTTATTTCACTTAGCGTATTCTCCAGCTTCATCCATGTTGTTGCAAATGGCAAGATTTCCTTCTTTCTTTAGGCTCAGTAATGTTTTATTATAAGTATACACCACATTTTCTTTATCCATTTATCTACTGATGGACATTTGAGTTGCTTCCATATTTTGGCTGTTGTGAAGAATGCTGCAATGAACATGGGCGTGCAGATATCTTGAAGATCCTGATTTCAATTCTTTTAGAAATATACCGAGAAGCAGGATTGCTGCGTGTTAGTTCTATTCTTTAAATTTTTTTTTGTGGAAACTCCATATTGTTTTCCATAGCAGCTACACCGTCAATTGTGTACAAGGGTTCCAATTTCTTCATATCCTCCCCCATATTTATCTTTTGTTTCTTCAATAATAGTCTTGTGAAGTGATAGCTCATTTTGGTTTTGATTTGCATTTCCCTGATGATGAGCAGTCTCAAGCACATTTCCATATAACTGTTGTCCGTTTACATGTCTTCTTTCCATGAAATGTTTATTCAAGTCCTTTGGCCATTTTTAAATCAGGTTATTATTTTTATCTGCTATTGAGTTGTAGGAGTTTCTTATATATTTTTAGATATTAACAGCATATCAGATATGTGGTTTGCAAATATTTTCTCCAATTCCATACAAAGCTACAATAATTAAAGGGTATGGTACTGGCATAAAGACAGACATATAGACCAGTGGCACAGAATAGAGAGCCCAGAAATTAACCCACTTGTACATGGTCAACGGATCTTCCAGAAGGGTGCCACAAGGGGAAAGGCCAATCTTTTCAATAAATGGTGTTGGGAAAACTGGATATCCACATGCAAATGAATGAAAATGGACCCCTATCTTGTACCAGGCATAAAAATCAATTCAAAATTAATCGAAGACTTAAACTTAAAACCCCAAATTATAAAACTTTAAAGAAGAAAACAAGAAAAACTTGTTGATTATGGTCTTGGCAATGATTATTTTCTTTTATGGGCCTAAAAGAGCTGACAACAAAAAATAAATATCGATACGTGGGATTACATCGGAGTAAAATGTTTGCTTTCCTTTTAAACAGGGAATTGGAAGTTTTATGCCACTAATAAACTTAAAACTGCCTGAGAGATTTTTCTACTGGCCTTTCAGTTTCTACCCAAGACAAAGTAACATTCACTTGTTGCCTTTCAGTGTTTCAGCCCTCTGCTTGTAAGAGGGAGTATTTCAAAAGTCTGAGCCATCTCTACCCTCGCCCCTTTGAGGATAGTGAACCCAGGTACTTACAATCAAGTACCTGCTTCAAAGGTGGATGTTACTTTGATTGTTTTCATGAACATTTCTGGAGCAGGGAAAAACTGACAGAGATAGCATCTTATCATAATTTCATTAGTTATTTGAAGTGGTTTTATTTTACGACTCTATTCTTTCATGAGACTACAAATAGTTCCCTCAAAAAATAATTTAGATTGAGATCTTTCAAAGGATCTTGTAAAAACAGTTTTTGCCCTATATTTTGTTAGAAGGAGAAAGTTATGTCTCTGGTTAAAAGGACACATGGATCTTGATGTAAGGTATTTAAGAATAATATTTAATTTTTTTCTTATACTTTCTTAAAAGGAGGATAACCATTAAATATATATAATATCAGGGGCTTCAAATTCTCAAGGGAGTATGTGATCAAGAGTCACCTGAACTAAATTAACCAGAGTCCATTTTTGTTAGAAAAAAACAAGAGTCTTAACTGATTTTAAAAAACAGTACCAGAGAGTAGATTACAGATAAAAGGCACTCAGATATTTAGAGGGTGTTTTAAATTGACTATTGGTCAGTCTGAAGTAGTCAGACAGCCTTCCATATTCCCGAATGGAAAAACATCCGTCGGGGGAGGAGGTTGTGACGGCGCCAGGCCAACGCTTGGCATCAACCAACGCCTGAGTTAGGGTAGATACCGTAGCAACTGGGTTGAGACTCTGGTAAACTAGTCCTGGAAATTACTTTTGTGTGACATTGAGTTCCAGGTCCAGTTGATTCATAGCCTCTGCAGATCTTTCATGTGTGAGGTCAGAAATGACATGCAGAATGGGCGTATCCAAGGACACAGGAGACTTAAAGGACCTGACTTCCTAGAAACCTGTGGAATTCTCCCCCTGACGTGTGTGTGTGTGTTTTGGGCAGTCGGGAATAAAACCTAGGTTTTATCATTTTTAGCCCAGGGATATTTCCATGTCAGCTGGCCACTTTATAGGACCCAGATCCGTTCCTATCTTGCTGGTTCTCAAACACTGTACCTCCTCCACACTGTGTACTCAGAGGCTCTCTCTCTCTGTCTCTCTGTCTCTGTCTCTCTGTCTCTCTATCTCTCTTTCTCACACACACTCACACACACACACACACACACGTCTCAGTCTGTGGTTTTTCTCTCCCCACGCCTCCCTCCACCGGGCCCCGGGGGTTGGGTGAGGTGGGGCCGAGGGGGCTGTTGCCAGTGTTCTTGTCTGGGTTTCCCATCTCTGCCCAGCACTGTGTTACTAGCACTGCAGAAGTAGAGACTGCTGTCCGCAGGACTCGCACTCATCACCTTCAGAGTGAAAAATGTGAGGTTTACATGGCGAATGAGAAACTTGGCCTCAGGGAAGTCTCGTTCATGTGTGGCGCTGGAGGCTATGTTCGAAGTTGCCATCAGCGTGAGGCCCTGTGTCGGGAGCTGACGATACCAAAACACGGTGGAGGCTTGAAAGTCCGCATGGCACTGGATGCTCACAGAGGCGCCGCTCTTGCAGATGACTGCACTTGGATCTTGGGAGACCAGAGCACCCAGCCCAGAGCCTGCCGAAACAGAGGTCAGGGAGGTGAAGGAGGCCAAAGGACCCGTCAGACGCGCCCACAGGAGTCCAACACACAGCCACACTCCCTCGCCTTTCACCCATCTCCCAGAGATTCCTGCTGTTCTGTGAAATCTTCCTGCTAGACGCCCTACAACCATAATCCCCCATCTCCCCTGACTGGTGACGTCTCACCCTACCCTTCAGACCTCCAGAGAGCGTGGATGTCCCCTCTCATTAGGATCAGCATAAAAAAGTCCACATCTCTGGCTACCACTTCGCACATGCCAATGCACACACACACTTGCCCAAACTCCTCAGATAATATGGTTCATACTGGGCCCCAGGAGCAGCAGAAGCATCAGCATCTTCAGGTGTTGGCCTCATACCACACCTCGCTCATGATTCAGGGTAGGACCACGCTCTTCCTTCTCCCTTTCTCCACCCCTAGGAGGGTGGACCACCGCTTACGTAATCTGGAAGGCGCTCCAGTCCGCCCCCTGGTGGTGATTTTTTGCCAGTGGCGCAGGATCCATCGCTCTATCAAAGAGTCACCACACACATGGTTGAAAGGGGCCTCAGATGTTCTAATTCTGCTCCTAACTTTATAGAACATGCACTAAGAACCAGATCATGGAAATGACTTAAGTTTCTTAGCTTTATTCAAGAAAAAGGCTATATGTTTGTGTAGTAAATGGAATTATAGTCAATTCTTTATTTCTGTAACGATCCTTGGAGTACCCGAGACAATTCATGACTGTTAATCACTAGAACTATGGGTGAGCATAAGAAATCCTAGGCTCTGAGTTTAATGTTTCTTCATACTGATGATAAGGAAAATTTCTCATCTTCTAAATGAATTATTTATTTCACTACTATCTCGTGCCAGTCTCCTTCATATTGATGGACTTAATATTTCAACATAGCTATTTATCATAGTCCATATGTCTCTGTGTAAATCACTGCGGAGGCTAGGAAGATAATTTGTTTGCAGCTCTTTCACCATAATACAGGTCATAAGCTAACTATTGGCCAGTGGCGATAGGTTCTAGGAGATTTGGGGAATTATTTCTGCTTTGAACATGCTGGAATATTTATTTAAATGGCTCATGCTAGGAAATGTATAGCAATTTCAAGGAGGCTGAAGATTTTTCTCCAAAGCATTATACTTTCATTTTTATAATAACCTCCCAGTTGTGCTTCATTCATATTTAGTTCTTTATATGTGGAGTGAGTAACTAAACACGGTAGGATTAGGACCTGATCCATCAAATTATGTTTGTACTATAGTGACATAGATTTGTATCATAGCAAATATAATATTGTCTACTAAATATTACTATATGCACAATATGGATATATGTATTCAAGGGCATCTAATATGCTTCTGTGGCTATATTTTTTTCATGGTGGGGGAAGACCACATTATGATGAGGTCACTTCCCACCATAACTATACTTTTTCCCTGCAGAATGTGCCTGCAACATATTACTTCTCCACAACATTATGATATATATGGGATGAAGTGTCTGGCAGCCCCTGCATCAGAAGAAAATCTTTCTACTCTTTTTGAGGACCACCAGCCATCGTGTGTGTGTGTGTGTGTGTGTATATATATATATATATATATATACACACACACACACCCTATGGTGTTTCATATTCATAGTCAACTTAACTAAGGAAGAAATACATTTCCTAGAACTTTCTTTGTGGTAAAGCTCTCAATTAGAATTGACCTCAAGAAAAATATTTGCGCATGAAGCAGGTGTCGTCCTGCTCTGAAGCCATCATTGGTCTAAGGCGGTGAGGAATGAGATCGGTAGTACAATTTATTATATTATGGTAGCCTCTCCTCAGAGATGGCACACAGATGAACCACCATACTTGCCAGCATTCACATTCCTATAAGGATCAGGGCTGACTTGAATGTGATGGAAGGGATACTGTATGATTTTCATACGTAGCCTTGCAGATTCCACCTGGGTCTCTTGAATGCTCACTCTCGGGGAAGGAAACCAGTATGTAATAATTTGAACTACCTGAGGCCACCATGCTGTGAGGAAACCCGCCTAACCCCAATGAAGGGCTATGTGGAGAAAGACATGTGGGGCTGGTCTATGGCTGTCCCGGTCATCCCAGGTGAGGTATCAGATATGTGTATGAAGAAGTCACCTTGGATTTCCAGTCCAGCTGAGCCTTCAGATATCTCCAGCTTGGTGACTGTCTGCCACTACATGAGAGACCCCAAGCATGAACTGCCTACCAGAGCCCATTCAACCCACAGAACCATGAGAGAGAATACATTTTTATTTTTAGTCATTATATTTTGGGATGGTGGTGGTGGTAGTTGTTTTTCTAAGCTTTTAAAGGGAGATATAAAATACGTATAAGAGACCACACAAATCTTAAGTGTACAGCTTAGCGAATTTTCACAAATGAATGCACTTAGGTAGGTAACCACCACCCGGATCAAGATAGAGGACATTTTCAGAACCCCAGAAACCTCTCTGATGCTTCCCTCCAAGTAAATTAAAAATGCCTCCACATGCAGTCACTACTCTAACTTCATACAGTAGGTACCCTTGTGTCTGGCTTCTCTGTTCAACATCATGTCTATGAGATTCAGCCATGATTTTGCAAATAATATTTGATTTTTTTGCTAAATTTTATTATATAACACTATTTGTCTATTGCATTGTTGATGGATATTTGGGCGTTTTCCCATTTGAGATTACCATGAATAATAAAGTTGTTGTGAAATTATTTTTCTCACATACTCTTTTCTCTTTCCTCAGAATCCTGGAATATTCCCTGAGTTTGCATACAACTGGCAAACTGGTTTCCTGCCTTGTCTAATTTACTACTGATTGCTTACAGTTTAATTTTGAATTCAGAAATTATTTTTACTGTAAGCAAGAAATGTTATAGCTCTTTGATTATATTTTTCTATAAATTGCTCTCCCTCATTAACAGATACAATGGCTCCTCAAAGCTTGCTAAAGAGAGATTTGGTGATATTTTGATTTTTTGGACTTTCATTTCATACAATTACTCTTTATAACTTGGTCATGGGGATGGAGGTTATTATGAAATTTCACAGCTAAAAAGTTCTTTCTAGTATCAGGACCACTCTGAAAAAGTAAATGGTTCGATGGTTTTAGAATGGATGTTTAAAAAATCATGTAAAGTCCATACTCTTTGTTTTATAAATTCATCAACTGACAGGAGGAAATCTATATCCCTTCAAGTTATGTCCAAGATAATAAAGAAAAATGAAACTGTCTGTCTCCTACTGTGCTCCCCTTAATTTCCTCTCTCTCACTGGACAGATAGCCTCACCCATCCCATCACCTCTGGAATATGGCTTGTACCCAGGGAACAGAGAACGGTAGGGGCTGTGTCTCCCACTGGTCCATGACTGTATCGGATGGCTCAGGAAATGACTGATCTGGAGGTATCGATGAACATGGTCTGGATAAAGTGAAGCATCTTAGATCCATCCCATTCCTGATGGTTTCTTTACTATTGTCAGAGGACATCAGTTGCAATGAGGGCTAGTGCTCATCATACCACATTTCAGGGTTCTAAATCCTATTCGTAGATTAGTGTCTCTTTCCCATTTCTGTTTCTCAGTACTTTGGTCTCTGCATGAGTCAATCTTCCACAGAATACATGGGAGAAGAAATCCAAAGCTAACAGTTCAGAAGGAATACAAATAAAATGCATGAAGCCCAAGATTATATGTAATGGTCAGGGACTCCCCATATTTTCCCAGAAATTGCTTGTCCTGGGAAACGCAGGGCCATACAGGAGAACAGGCTGAGGATCTTAAATGCTTCCAAGAATATTTAAAAATACATAACATAATAAGATAAAATTTAAAAAATTAAAAATATTTACAGATAAAATATATATATATACATATATATACATATATAATATGTATATACATATATATATATATATAAATCCAGCATTTCTAGTTGTATGCAGTTGGAAGGATAAATAATACAGACAGTCATTCATTTCTGCAAGCAGAATTATGTGATAAAATAAATATTTTTAAACAAATGAAATCTCAAGAATTAACACCGCTTGCCTTAATTTGATAGATAGGTGTCAGACCTCAAAGGGAGAAACCATACAGAAAAATGAGCCTTTGTAAAATAATACTGATCTCCTGTCTGCTAATTAATCATGCAAATGTTTCTCTCAAGCCCAACTCTCCCTCCTAAGCACCAACCAAGCCTACTGGGTATTTCTTTTTTTTTCTCCCAGTTTTAATTTATTTATTTTTTGTACTCTCTATCCCCAGCACAGGGCTTGAACTCACAACCCCAAGATCAAGAGTCCCACACTCTTCTGACTAAGCCAGTCAAGCACTCACCTACTAGGTATTTCAATGCAGGCATCCAAGGAAGGTCCACTAGAACTAGAAACTCAGATGTGTTCAATACCCTTGCTCCACTCATTCTTCCAAATCGTCTCCTGTTGCCATATTCCGGGGGTGGAGGTGACCGTCTTCATTTCTGATTTTATCTCATCACTCCCTCCTGCCAGTTCCTTAAGCTGTATCACTGTGGGTGCTTATCCACCAGGTGAAATCTGATTCATCATTTGAGTTTCAGCTCATGGTTTTGCCTTCTCTTTGAAGCCCTTCATGATGCCACCAGACAAAACCAGCCATGTTATTTCCTATAGCCCACCAACATCTCTGATTAAGGCACACATTATAGGAAACCTGATCACTGTATTTGTCTTCTACACATTTTTCTTCCTGCTTGGCTTCTATTATTCTGAAGGAAGGGACCATTTTCTGTTCATTTTGGTTTTCCAGTATTTTTTTTTTAATTTTTTTTATTGTTATGTTAATCACCATATATTACATCATTAGTTTTTGATGCAGTGTTCCATGATTCATTGTTTGTTCATAACACCCAGTGCACCATGCAAAACGTGCCCTCCTCAATACCCATCACCAGGCTAACCCATCCCCCCACTCCCCTACCCTCTAGAACCCTCAGTTTTTCAGAGTCCATCATCTCTCATGGTTCGTCTCCCCCTCTGACATACTCCCCTTTTCTTCCTCTCCTGTTATCTTCTTCTTTTCCTTTTTTCTTAAAATATGTTGCGTTATTTGTTTCAGAAGTACAGATCTGTGATTCATCAGTCTTGCACAATTCACAGCGCTCACCGTAGCACATACCCTCCCCAATGTCTATCACCCAGCCATCCCATCCCTCCCACCCCCAACCACTCCAGTAACACTCAGTTTGTTTCCTGAGATTAAGAATTCCTCATATCAGTGAGGTCATGTGATACATGTCTTTCTCTGATTGACTTATTTCACTCAGCATAACACCCTCCAGTTCCATCCACGTCGTTGCAAATGGCAAGATCTCATTCCTTTTGATGGCTGCATAATATTCCATTGTGTATA